CTGCCGTGTGCCCGGCTGAGGGGACACGGGCAGCGTTCCGTGCTGAGGGGTCGCGGGCCCCGGTGTTTCCCCGGAGCTGGCCTGACGCGTCGGGGTTGAGGCGTCTTTAGCTCCGGAGCCCGCGTGTCCGTGTGCTCGGTGCCCGCGGCGTGGGGCGCTGCGCGCTGCTTCCCTCGGAGACGGCTTTGGGTGCGGGATCGGTCTCCTGGCTTTCTGCCTTGGTCTTCACAAACTTTCGGTGACGCTGCAACCATCCGCGTGAGGTGTGAACCACTAAAGGCAGCGGGCTCAGTACGTGCGAGGACAAATACTTGCTGCAAGAGAAGTGCCCCGCAGCGGGGTGTTATGCCAGGCTGTCACGGGAGGGAGAGCTAAGGGTAGGGCTGGAGCCCACCCGGGGATGTGGCTGCTGCTCCTGGGCACTGCTGGCCCTGCTCCCTGTCCCTCTGCTGTGCAGCAGCCGCCGGGAAGCAGCACCTACACAGCTTCCAGAGGTGGCTCTTACTTGGAGCTACTAGCACTGTCGAAGTAAAGATGTGATGCACAATAAAGTACCTATTTCAGGAACAGAAAGAAATGCAGAGGAGGAAAAACCCCAGGTTTTACTGTGGTCTTTAGTAACTGAGAGGCAGCTTTAATAGTTCGAGGTTCTACATAAGTAGTACAGTGATAAATTACAAGAATCTTCTAGAAATTCGGCTGTTTTTTGCAGTGGTAGATTTTGATTAATGGTTAGGTTTATGGGAATGATTTGGGGAATCTTGAATAGAAATTTAGAGGCCACTTAAAAAAATACACCAAAATCTGGTTTTCTGGTTTACATGGGATGTAATTGTATGTTGTCTTTTTCTTGCCTCTTACGCTTTTTTCCAGCTTATCTGTAGTAAAAAGATGTGTTAGTATGAAAGAGAAATCTGTGCTATGTTGGTTATAGGACTTAAATGGCTAGCCAGATGTGGGAGTTGAGAGCAAAACCATTTTGTTCTGTTCTGATGCTGCTACTTTAACTTCTGTTTACTGTGCTAATGAATAAGGAGGCCTTTCTCAGTACACATATATACCTCCAGAGGTAGGCAGCTGCCTTTGGAGAGGTTTATTTGTCCTGTGTTTTAACATGTCTGTTCACGTGTTTTTCTGGCTGCTTCTTTCTCTTTTTCCTGTAGGCAATTTAGGTTAACACTTCAAATATAAGAAGGTGTAATTTGGGAAACAGAGTGACTAATATACTTCAGTTTTAGTGAGTCTTTAGAAATAAAAATGTTTTGGTTCATAAAATCATCAAGCTGTTATTTTTGCTTGAGTGGGGTGAAGCTGAGCATGTGTTGAGAAGCTGAATGGCTGAGTGTGGCACAGATTTCCTTGTAATCTGTGTACAGCCTGGCCTTACTCCTTAGTGACCTAGTCAGATGGAGGAAATTTTGCATGATTGTTTCTGCTGTTTCAGAAAAACTTTAAATGGTTTAAAAATGTTCTGGAGATTGCTTTTTTCATTCTAGAAATTCTGTTCTTTTGATGAGGATATTTGATAACCAGCTGTGGAAAAGTGTTCAAGGCCTTGAACGTTAGGGAAGGCATTTATGAAACAATGTCTCTAAAGTTACCTTTGACTTATGCTACCTATGCTAGACGTGACCACCTCCATTGGCAGTAAAATGCTGAGCCTTTCAGTAGTAGCTGATAATCAGAATAACTAGATCTCTTGTACTGTTCTTTAAGTTCTGCAAGACTACTGTTGCAGTAGGGGAGCTACAGATTTCACTTAGTTGAAAGCTGTAAGCACCTTGAACAGTCAGCAGTGGCAGGTAGAGAACTTCTCTTGGCAAATAGAAAGAAAGGAAACTGTTTCCACATCTTCAGAATTGCCTTTAAATCACAACAAAGCCAACCCAAACAAAAAAAACAACCCTTCTTTTGCTAATGAAGATTACTTTCTAGTTGTGAAATCACTGCTTTGAGCTTTTTCTCTCTGTCCCCCCTCCAAGTCTCTACTCATTAGTTCATGTGCTGCTATTCTATTGAAAGCTGGTCTGAACTTGACATCACAGAGATAGGGCTGATCACGTTCACTGCAGCTGCGTCGTTGGTAGTACATCTGAAAAAAGTACCTTTTTTTGCTGTTTATGGGAGTAAGCATTGATAGGCTTTACAAATTGTTTATGGGTGGAGGGGAAGTCCATTTTCACTTGTCACTTTTAATGTGTGCAATCTTTATATTAAGCCTCATGTTTCACAATTTGCTGAGTATAAATAAGGTTCTCAGCTGGGTCTTCTAAGATATGCCTAGTGTTTATTTTTTTGTTAGTTTGTTTTAAGTTATGTCATGTTGCCTTTTTTATTTCAAAATTCAACAGAAGTTTTCTAGGGCTCACTGTGATGGTGGTGGTAATCGAAGCAAGAGCTGGAAACTGCAAGTTGCTTTTTTTCTTTCTTTTTAAATCTAGAGATTCACTGTACGTTTTGATCACATTTTTAAAATGTTGGATGGAAAAAAACCCCACCACGCACAAAACCTGGCATTTTAAAAGATAATTAAAAGAACCTACAGCTGCCGACTGGTACAAATTATGTATTGCATCATATGTAGTTTTAATAGTGTTGGTGTCTGACTGCTCCTTATAGTAGATATGATAATGAGGGCTTAATTGTGGTGTTTTTATCTTCATCCAGTACAAGTTACCGTATTCATATGCAGCGATGTTGCAGTGTTGTCATGTTTCATGTAATAATGTAAAACTGTGGTTTTTCAGTTTGTAAACAGCGGACAATTACCAGTTGGTTGGAGAATAAAGGACCCAAGACAACTGACTCCAAAAGGTAAAATGTATAGCATACCTATTCAAAAGTTGTGTTATTTGGGTGGATCTGTGAGGAGCTAAAAGTCCAGGTTGCCAGTACAGCTACCTACTGCTGAAAAGGCAGCCCTATTTCTACTGCTTTCCTTACCTTGGCACATCCTCAGCAGTATAATTAACTGACAGACTTTCACTACAAAAAACTGTTGTTTGCATTCCAGTTATTTTGTGAAAGATATTATAAAAGTTTCAGTGTTGAATGGTGCCATGTAAAATTTTATTATATTTTCTGCTAATCTGGTCTGTCAGGAGCAATGTTTGCAAGACAGGATTTAAATGAATCTCCTAAGAATGTAGCAATCTGGTGCAAAGGAATATCAGACTTTACATTTCTGTCTTCACTATAGTAAATAAGCTGGTTTATTTTTCGTTGGTGTTTGTTAATGTTTAGAAATGGAAATCTCTAGCAGTGTTAAGTGTGTTCAACAAAAGCCAGTAAAAGTTGAGATAATGAGTGATACAGAAGTGCAGAGGGGCCATTTACAGGCTGCAGTAAAGCTAAGATGTTAAGAGGATGCTTGAGGTGGGAGTGAGTAACTTTTTCAGATTCCCTTTTAGAGTATAGTCTTTTTATGTCCTCACTGACAGATTGCAGCCTAGTCAGTTTTAAACAGAAAATTGTATAAATACTTCATGTATCTCTCTATTGCTGTTGCTATTGTAATTGTAATTTATTTCTTTCAGATTTGATTTCTCATTTTAAGTTGGCATCATCTGCTGTCAGTCACTTTGAACAGTCATTTATTGAGAGGGCAACTGTAACGTATTCATTACAATTTTCAGTGCTGCAACAAATGCATTGATGTGGAATGTAAATTATGAAAACATAAAAGTCCCTGAAATATTTTTGTTTTCAAATAATATTCCTATAGGAAAAGTTCCAAGTTATTATCTGTTGTTCCAAGCACGCTTATTTTTAATTTTTGTTCTGTAGTGGTAAGGGTGCTAATCCTATCTCTTTATCCAGAGTGCTCTTTTAGAAGAGGATCTGCTATCATTCATGCAGAGAATATACCAGACATACAAAGTGTGTTTATTTGATTACGTACAATGTTGCAGCAATACATTTAGGAAAAGGTAATGTTCAGAATGGTGTATTCACCGTGACCAGACAGATGTTTTTCATATTTGCATGGCATCCAAGTATTTTTCTTTATCAATACACTGACAGAAAAATCAGTATGTAAGTGTGAAATGGCTTTCCAATGTCCCCTTCAGTTTCTCAGATGATTATATTGAACTCAATTTCCCTGTGTAACTGTAAGAACATATTTCTTACACCCATTGTGTAAGTCAGTGCAGAACAAATAATATTTCTCTTTAGTAATTGGTTTAATGTGTCTGATTTTTTTGTTCTCAGTTCTAAGCATATTTTACCCTCATGCTCTTGTATTATGATTTTGTTGAAGATTTTTCACTTACAAGAAAGAAGTCATAGGAAGGTTTTGAGACTATGGGCTATTGTGTCTTGCTCTTCTAAAAGATGAATCTGTAGCTCTGAGGGAATGGCTACAAAACCATTGATTTCCTTGCTCACTGTATTTAGCTGATTAAAATAAAAGTTAAAGAGGACTTGGTCATGACTTCTAACTTTTTTCATCTGGAGAAGATGACTAAAATAATAGCTTAATACCATTTGATTTGAAAATAAGAGTAATAAATCACTGGAGTAGATTTCTAAGGTAAGCAACTGGTTCATCATCCTTTGAAGCCTTTCAGTGGAAACAGGTTGTTACTGCTCTACGTTCCCCATTGCAGTACAACTTGTTTATCCTGGTTGTGCTTATAGAGTATAAAGGTTAAAATTCTGTAATTTCTATCGCATGTTTCCTTTATTTTTCTATAAGTATGCAGAAATTCCATTTGGAGATAAGGCATTAACTTCCTTTCTCTTCCATAGCAAAATTAATAACAATACTGAAGCAAATCTCAAGATGACTTCCATGAAAAAAGAGAACCTTCGTGAGCCTGATGTGAAAAAACTTGAGAATATTTGTCAGCAAAAATATTCAAAAATATCTGTGGAAGTTGGTGCAAAGAATGTAAATTTGCCTCAGACAGGCAGCATGTATAACTGGGAGGCAGAGGACAAAGATCCAGCCTTAGACATGGAGCCTGTGAAGGGGATGCAGTCTGGGGACCTCTTTAAAAATGCCAACATCGATCAGATGCACAAAGCTGGCAAGCAGGCCCAGAGAGGCTGTGAAGAAAGTGGTGACAGTTGGACTCAGAGGAAGTTATCATCAGGCCAGTCTTTGAAAATGGGAAACACAAAACTTTCTTCAAAAGACACTGAGACAGATGGACAAGTAACTTCATGCAATTCACAGGTGTTGAAGAGTTGCAATTCTGTCTGCGTAACAGGTGAACAAGGAGAAGCGGATGTAGTTCCAGAGAGTCCACTTTCAGATGTTGGTTGTGATACTTGTGTATCTGATCTTGGAGGTCCTGGGAAACTGAGGAAATGTCAGAGCAGTTCAGGGGATTCACCCGCTTTTGAGAAAGAGAGTGAACCAGAGTCACCCATGGATGTAGATAATTCTAAAAATAGCTGTCATGGGTCAGAGGCTGATGAAGAAACAAGTCCCTTTCTTGATGAGCGGGAGGACATTAATGTGTCAAAATCCATAAACAAACCGTTTGGAGTTCAATATGGGGATGCTGAACTGGAGTCAAGAAAGTCATGTTTTTCTAAGGGCTGTGCAAGCTTTGAAGAAATAGATAATTCTGTTAAAGTGGATGGTCTGCCTACAAAGGCACCTGGGATCTGTCCTCCTGCATCATCAGAATGCAAAGGTGTGAAACAGGGTGTGAAGAGAGACTCCAAAATCACCTCGCACTTCATGAGGATACCTAAAATTGAGGAGAAAAGGTAGTGTTCTGTCTGCCTCTTAATCTGTTTTTTTCCACACTCAAAAAGTTCCTCTTTGGTGATAGCACTCTGGCAGCTGGATTGTGTAGAGTTTTGCAAAATGTATATTAGGACATAAAGACAACTGCTGTACACATGAAGTAACTTTATTTTTAATGGGTCTACTTGTGATTTTTTTTTTAAAGGATATGTTTGTTAGTGCAATTTTTAAATCATCTGATATTATTAAAATTGGGAATTAAAGGTGCTGTAGGAAGTTTATTTTCTTTATTGAAGAAGTGATTTAAGACCATGAGACTTTTAATGCTTCAAAATGAATGGTGGTACAGGAGTGCTTTATAGAGTATAGCTCTAACATTGATTATTTCATTCAGAATACCTGAGGAAATTAATGTTTGCTTGTGGTTGTTGTTTTTTTTTTTTTGTTTCATCCATCAAAAATACTGTTTTATTGAAGCACCAGTGCTGCTGGTACTTTGATAGAAACAGACATGAGAGATTTAACTTCTGAAAGCAATTGTAGAGATGGGTCTGAGTGTTTGTTGTTTTTTTTGATGTTGTTGGTTTTTGTTCTATTTGTAATTTGTGAGAGCCATGGCAATAGAAGCCCTGAGCATGACCCAGGGCTGTTGTGTTGTGTAAGGACAAAAGGATTATGTCTTCTCTGAAGAGCTTGGGTTTCAGTGGGACCTGAAAAAGTGAACAAACAGCCAAAGGAATAGGCAGAAATGAGGACTGTGTGCGTTTGTGTAATAAGCAATTATGTCAGCAAACTCAGGTTCTTACAGTAGGGCAAGAAAGTAGTTTTGCTCATCTTTACTGGGAGGTCTTTTCTCGATGTGAGAAGCAGCAGCACAAACCATACTTTTCAAATAAATGAAGAAGAGTGTGATGGAGGGTGGCTAACTAGTGGTGGGAGCTTGTGTTTGAGAACTCTTCAGAGGTGAGTAGGCTGAGAATGGGTTTGGAAAACAAAACAAGATAGTTTTTACAAAAAATTGATGGATGAAGAATTTGCTAAAAAAGTATGGAAAAGGGTTTCCTAAAGTTTAAAATTATTGGTTTAGGGAGTACTTTTCCCACTAATTTAAATTAAATGCTGTTATAGCAAAGCAGCAGAGGTTGAAGCTTTTGTTTGTCAGGGATAGAGCACTGTTTGTTGTGCTAAAACCCTGTAGTCCTTATGAGAACAATTAGGAAATACTAGTTTTCTCCTGGTATTCATTAGACCAGGTCTACAGCAGACAATTGAGTGGCTCAGAACTGAACTTGGGAGAAAGAAGCAGCAGTGTATCAAGCAGGTTTCAGTCATCAGTAACGCTATGCTGGAATTACCCTTTGGCTCTCAGATGAGCACCTGAGGGCCTGTACTCTGTGTCATGGCGTAGTGGCTGCCCCATTTGCCTGTGATTGGTTGGGCTGGAGGCATTGTCTGCACCTGAAGATACTGGCATAGGCATAGACACAGTGAACAGGTTGAACAACATCTTTATCCAAGGGTGGAGTGAGTTCACTAAAGGGAATTTAGAGGCCTAAACAGTACCTCAAAGTGTAGGCTTTTAACTTGTTTTGCATGTCACTCTGAGAACTTCCCTAAGCATGAGAAACATTTGGTATGTTGCAGCAAACACTCAGCAGGTTCAGATTTTGCTTCTCAAAAATATCTTGGATCCATGCAAATACCTTTGATCATTGAAGAGGATTAGTTCACCTGCTCTTGCATATGTCTCAGTTTCTCAAGTTTTTTTTCCATTATTTTTGAATTTCTACTTCCATTGCAAGTATTCTATGCCTGATGTGAAAAACACAAACCTAGTGAGAAAGAATGCTGAAGAAGTTTAATTTTCTTTAGTTCAAAGAAGAAATACGTGCATGTGTGTATCTGCACGTGTTTGTTTTCTAACAGTTGAGAAGGGGCTGTAGAAGGTATCCTGACAAATGCAAACCCATGGGCTGGTCTTCTGTCCCTGGATAAGTGGATGCTGCTGGGAAAGAGCATGACTCTGCAGAGGAAAGGCCTACCGTGCCTTGCTAGCACACTGCAGTTATGTGAAGGTGTTTGTAAGAGAGTGTTTTGGTAAATATCATGTACCTGCATGTGTTGGGGAAGAGGTTATTGGTGGCAGGGGTTTTCCCCAAATAAAGCTTTGGCCTGGGGCTATAGTGTAGACTAGCAAATAAATGGAACCTGTTAGAAACGTAACCCTGGAGTAGAAACTGAGGTTTTTTCAGTGGAAATAAAATGTTTCAACATATTTTATTTTAATAGCAGGAAAGAAAAGTGTGAATTCAAACCCCAGAGGCGGGGAAGGAAGATCCCTAAATATGTGCCACCTCCTCTTCCAACTAATAAGAAATGGTTTGGGACACCGATTGAAGAGATGAGACGAATGCCGGCGTGTGCGGCCCGCCTTCCCCATCTGCGACCCTCAGCCAATCACACAGTAACCGTCAGGGTATGGTGGCTTACCTGGAATCACATCTCTTATGAAATAGTTCAATACACTGAAATGCCAATTGTTAGTCTTAGAGCATTAGCAGGTTGCAGAAGTCGGTCTTTGCAAGCAGACCCAGACAACTAATTTTTCTTGAGGTTCACTTTTCTGATTTGCAAAATTAGGATATTAAGATCCAGAAAGAATGTAATTATTATTTCATTGCTTCTGGCTCATTAGGGACAAGTATTCTTTTGCATAGGTGTGAATGTGTGCTTCCTTGTCTGAGTTGTAAATTGTGAGAATTTAAATATGTCTGCAAGTAAAATTTGTGCTTCAGCTTTTCATATTTTTATTTTAATGTTACTCTGTTTTGGGTTCAAGATATACAAAAGGCTCAAGATACTCAAGATATGAAGAAGACAAGGAGTAAAGAGGAGTTTGTAGCAATTTTTCCACTGCACTTTAGATAAAATCTGATACATTTGACTTTAATCCTTTAGAGTAGTATGCAGTCAAATTATTGTTGAAACGAAACGTGACCAGAAACCTATAGTGTCATGGATAAATCCCAAACAAAAAAACCCAACACATCAAGTTTAAGTGCAAGTTCTGAGAGACTCAGCTGCCAGAAGACTGTTTAGCAGATTAAGTCTTTAAGAATGTCACATTATTTATATTTACACCTCTGATGTTCTGTGGAATAATGTTGATTATTGCTATATCTATAATGATTTCTCATCTTGTTCAGTGTTAGTTTAAAAAATGTCATTTTTGTACATGCCTATGGTTACATTTGAAACTCTGTAGAGACTTAAATTCATAAATGAGGAAGTCTTTAGCTGATAATAGATCATAAAATAATGATGTGTATTACCTTTATTTTGGTGTTTTCAGCTTTCAAATGATAGTGGTTTTTTTAATCAAGTATAATATTAGAGTAACAGAGTAGCAGATGTTTGTGTTGTTATTTTTTTCTAACAATGTGCATCCTGTTGCCAGTTTGTAGCTTTCACCTTTTCTAAAAGGTGCCTGTAGATGAGAACTTTTTTTAAACTATGTTTTTGCTGGCTTTTTATTTCTTACATTTAAAACTTGGAAAGTAGAGGCTAAGCTTTTTATTCCCTCCTGTGTTGCAGGTAGATCTTCTGAGGGAAGGAGAGGTGCCTAAGCCTTTTCCAACTCACTACAAAGATCTGTGGGACAACAAACATGTTAAAATGCCCTGCTCAGAACAAAATTTATACCCTGTAGAGGATGAGGTAAGATTATGTATTTACAGTTGCATAATCAAATAAGTTTGTTTACTTAGGTGGTAAACTGTGTGTATGGAATTGAAAAATCAAGTAGATGAGCATACCTGGTCTGAAAAGCTCTGTTCTGGGTCAGAATACTTCAGGCAGAGCAGAATTATTTTTTTTTCCTAGTATTTATTTTACCTAGCAATTGAATTAATGGTGTGTATAGTTCTATACTTACTTGGAGTATAAAGTTATACTCCATATAAGCTACATGTTTGTATACTTATGTATTTGGGTGTTTTGTGAAGTGGTTTGGAGTGCCAACAGATGTAAATTAATTCGTAACCACATTTTGTTTATAATATTATGTATTGTTGAGGTGTATCTGACTGCTCTTCTGCCAAAACAATGGTGGAGAGGTTAGAATTGGCCCTACATGGTTTGTTCATCTGATGTTTCTTGTCACTGCTTGAGACTTAGTTAACTGTACCCACTGTAATACTTCAGGCTGTGGTGGATAAAATTGGCAAGTATGTGCTGTAGTGAAGACTGTATAATGATTATTGACACTTGAATTTGGAACAGGCAATTTTTATAGCCTCTAGGAAGTACTCTTTTATTAATTTTGCGGTTACAGTAGAAAATTAACTGATAATTCAGAGATAGTGTTGATAAGATCTTTGATAAGATATTGCCAGCTGGGCAAGGTAAGTTGTTTCTACCCTTAAGGTAGTTCCGTAAGACATGTCCTTATTGCTTGTAGTGGGCAGTAGGACTTCTGTTGAGGAAAAATATCACAGAATGTCTTAAACTTGGGTTGGCACAAGAGTCAGCACAGCAATATGATTTCTAGTCTGTGCCCTTTATAAAAATGTAATACCAAGAATATTAAGTTCAGTTTATATTTCTGAGTTGTGGATTTTATAAACTAGTCATATTTTATCTGCAAAACACTTACGTTATGAGGAATGTCCTGGTATTTGTCCTTGAGACGGTGTGAGGAAGAGCACTGCTTATGTAAAAAGGAACTCTATGAATTTTGTGATTGCTTCAACTAAGGAACTCTTTAAGGAAGTAAAATGCAGTGGATTAGAAGTTGCAGAAGCACTTCACAATTACTCAAAATATGTGATTATTTTTTAAGAACTTCACACATAAAGCAAACTTTGTTTAAAGAAATATGTAACAGGGAAGACAATTACTAGTAAATATGTCTTTCTGTTTTGAATAACTTGATCTGACTTTGTTTTGGGCTTTTGTTTTAAAGAATGGAGATAGAACTGCTGGAAGTCGATGGGAACTAATCCAAACTGTCTTGCTTAACAAATTTACTTGCTCACATGATTTGAAGGTAAGCTTGTCAATTTGAGATCAAGTCTATCTACAAATAAGTGCATTCAGGCTTTCCATATACTGTTAGTGATCTGGTTCAGTCCTACTTGTTTAATCACTTATAAAAACAAGCTTAAAATGATCTGTGCTGTTCAAGGAATTAACTGATTAATTAAGAGCCTTATTTAATGAGTCATAAGCATTATCACTGAATTTATTAGGACTTATTGAAATGAATTGTCATTCATAAGTCTACACAAAACAGTGCTTGTCCAGTGGCATCTGCTAGTGGTAAATGTAGCATGTTTTTTTTCAGATGGCAGGTCAATGCATAGGTGAGAGAGTTTGAAACAGTAACTGCTCACACAAGTATACTCCACTAAATTGCAACAATTCAAGCTGCTGAAAAAAATATGTACACTTTGGAGACTAATGCTCTGTTATTGTTACTCATCTAATTCTTGTTGGCTTTTAGTGAATAGTGATTTGGACCAACTTAGAATTGCTTGCATGTTTTTTGTGAAGAATAATGTAATTTAAGGTAATACCTGAAAGGCGGGGAGGGAGGAGGATGCAAAAGCTGCAGATGAACATTAAACAAATAATGAGTGCTCCCCAGCAACTATTGAAACTTCCCTTGATAATGCTATTTGGTATTTTTTTCTTGAGAATTTTTAAAAAGTGATTGTTGTAATGGACCTTTTTCATTTTGTTGTGATTCTGATTCTAAAAGTTTCTAACTTGATAAAGTTTCTGCTATATTGCTGAGGGACACTTCTCCCTTGGTATTTTTAAAGGCAGGAAGAATGAGTTAGGGAATGTTTATATTGTGTCTATAGGCAGATCGCAGCATGCCTTGTCTTACTTTGTGTTAGGAGGAAAAACCTGTAGACTAAAGCTTATTAGATACTAAACCTCAAGTGTAGGATTCACTCTCACGGAGGCACACAGTATTACTGCAGTGTTATGGATATTGGTGTGCTCTGTAACAGGTTAGCCACTAGATGGTAATGTTCCTTCAAAAAGGAAATTTCATAAAATTGTTTTTCTTCTGTTAGTATTTCTAAGCTTTATTTTCTTGTTCTTTTTCCCTAGGAGGCTATACTGAGATACAACATTGCTTATTCCAAGAAATGGGATTTCACAGCTCTTACTGACTTCTGTGAGAAGGTAAACCAAGTTGATTTTAAAATAGGAAGAAGTACAGGTGACTGTATATATCTCAGTGCTTTTGGCTTTATGTCACCTTTTAAGTGGAAAGGTTTTGCAGTCATCATCTGTGATGAGAGCGATTGGCTGGTAACTTCTGTTGAAATTATACTTTATAAACTGGATTAATTTGAAGTCTTAACCAGGTCTTTTGGGTGCTTCAGTAGCAACTAAGGTTAAGCTGAGAAATACCTTTTGTCTGCTTTATGAAAACTAGATTTATTAATACATTGTATTAATATTTCCAGTGTAATGGTTTGTTTTAAAAAGCGTTGCTCTCTTTTTCCTTTTTTAAACAATTTAACTGTATTGTTTGCATAGACTCTGCTTTGCTGGTCTAGCAGTAAAGTTCTGCTATATGTTGAGGTGATAAATTTAACTACAGAGCCTTTGAAAGATTGGGGTGTGGTTTTGTCTTCATCTTACCTTCCTGGAAGAGGTAGAAGAGAAAAATGACTTCCAGTAGGTGGCAAATGCTAGTTGGATTATTTTTGATGTACATCCTGACTGATGATCAGGAACTATGCTAATTTAAGCAGGATGGGAGATTAAATGAGAAGCAAGAAAAATAGTTGTATTTTTCTTGCACCAGCTCAGAAGTGCTTTTAAAACCCATCCTCATTTTCTTGGTAGGGGCTTACTAAGCTGTATTAAGATTCAGAGGAAAATAAATTTGATTTTAAGTTTATTCTATTAGCTCTGTTTAAAAAAGATGTCTGCTTAATTAATGTGCTCAGAGTTCTTTCTGTTGCTTATTTCCATTATGTATAGGAACTACTATTTAACACAAAGAATTTTGGTTTGCATGCAAAGCAGTATTGTTGTTACTCACAGAAGGTGCCCATAAAAATATCGGTTGTTTGATGTTTGCCAGCCGTGAAAGCTGCTGGGTTCACCCATCTTGCCGTATTAGTGCTCCCTGTTTTTCAGGCTGTCATGACTGAATGGTAGAGGCTGCGGACATTTGGCCTCTTTGATCCTCTTGACACTTGTACTAGCTGGAATTAACTTGGCCTGTTCAACTGCTCATTCTTGTGTTATTAAAGAATGCATATTTAAATTACTAGACTCTTTTAAAATACAAGCAGACTATTTATTTAAAAATCTGACTTGGGAATGTACTAGATTTGCATCATACTGCTACAAATGCAGCTGAGCTTGTCATAATGTGTTTATATTGTGCATCTGGGCATTTGGAAACTATGGGTGATTGGATTCAGAGCTCATCAGTCAGAGTAAGTAATATCAGCTGTCCCCAGAGAAAAGAGGAACAACAGGGAAATAAACTATCTGTTGGGTGTCAGTCTTTCACTGATGAGGGTGAAAAGGCAATTTCTGTCACCTGGGAATTATGATTTGTTTGTGACATTTCCAGATGAAGGAGAGATGTTTTTAAAAACCTGGATTTTAGACCAAGGTGAAGAGTGTGCAGCGGTATATTAAATAAGGATCAGTGAAGCACTGTAAAATGGTGGCTCCTTATAGACCCCAGGAGCCAAATCTTACAAAGCCAGGTGTCTGGCTTTGTTTATTGAATATATTGAGCTTAGTGAACAGAACATGTGCAAGGGATACATCTTGTAGAGAAATGTTTTAATGTTTTCTATTATTAAGGGATGTGTGAACTCTTCAAGTTTTGTAAATGAAGAAGGCATCTGCTTTCAAAGACTGTTTGTGGTCTGCTTAAGTGAGCAGCTATTGAGTGAAGTTTCCTTTGTGGAAATGACCTAAATATACTAGCTGTAGTGAAGTGCAGCTTTTGAAGTGATTATATTTGGGAGGTAATGATTAAGGGCTTACCCTTGGCTCATGCATTTTCTTACTTACTTTGCTGTTTTGAGGGAACAGGGGAACTGTTTTAGGTGATTTTTGCTCAGAAAATGTTGAGCGGGTTGGTTGAAGGGAGAGCTGGTTTGAGTAATTAGTTCCAAGGGAGGAGCAGAAGGTCAACAGAGGGAGAAAAAGTCACAAATATGTATGATAAGATTAAAACAGAATGTTATTATCTCAAGTATCTGTTTATATTCTTGAGCACTATTGACTTTCAGTGCTTTCTTAACCAAGAATTCTGTGGTCTGATTACAAGGTAGATGGGTCCATGGTGTAAATTTTAACTATTGGACCCTCTGTGTTTCATACTATTTCAATAGGTCTGTGCCTGGTAACGTATAAAGTACCGTTTATTTTATCTTCTGATTCTGGTAACAGCTCACCTTATCCATTAATCTGTTAAATGCTTTCATATAATTGTTACATTACGTTTCCTGTTTTATGTAGTTTCCTTCCAAGTTACACTGTCAAAATATGTATTATTTTTAAATCCTAAAGATAGGATTCAAATCAATTTTCTTGTAATAATAGTAATTCCAAGTTTCTTGGACTCAAGTTTGTTTTCATTCAGATTAAAATACTTTCAGCTTTCTTAAATACTGGGAAGTAAATATCATGTATGTGGCTGGACAGTTCTACAGTTTGACCTAAGTGTTGTCAGAAGAGGGAGCCCTCCAACTATTTTCAGAAGATTCTTTTGGATGCCAGTAAATGTGTGGAATTAAAATTGCTATTTGTACAGTGAAATAAATTTGGAAGCTTCGGTTCTTTTGTTTCTTTTTAAAAGTTTCTAGCAACCATCAATAGTGTATGTAAAATCCTGGTGGCTTTTTTGCTTCAGATATCTGACAGTTTTGTTGCCCTCTACAGAATTTCCATGCTGTTGTATTGATTTGTCTTGCCATCTGTTTGTTAATATTGGCAAACAGGCTTATGATTTATTCAAGTTATTACTTAGAGGATGAAAATTGTTAGTGCCAAAATTTTCTTCCTATTTGAAAAATTCTTGTCTCTTGGAAGTCTTCCTCGCATCTGAAGCCAGACAGTAGAGAATTAACAGCAAGCAGAAAAGAAAATGTGATGAAACTGCTGTGGATGGAGTTGTCTCAGGACCCACAATGTGTTGTATGTGGGCTTTATTTTTTTGTGAATGATGATAGGTTGGGAATTTATTACATGCTTTTGATCAACAGTGCTATTTACTGTAGCAGTTTCTATCTTTCTTGTAGATTTGGCTTTCCACTTAAAGGCAAGATGAAATTCTTTTGCTTTTTCCCTAAGTGCAATGAAAGAAAAAGACGAGTAGGGTCAATCAAGGCTTGTATCTTAGACTAATCTGCCAGAACAGCAACTTTATTTAAAAGGAAAAGTAAGGCTTTATCATTTAAAAGAGACACATGGTCTCCAGCTTAGATTGGGCCAGCTTGTTCTGGACATGCGTTGTTTTTATTATATTTGTCTCGAGCCGGTACCAGAGGGCTATCGGCTGTCAGGATGTTTTCGTGACTTCCCCCCCAGTGAGGAGAGGTTTATTAAAAAGCCCGAGCGTCCACCTCTCCCAGAGGAACAGCTGCTGAGGGTTCGTTTCTAAGAGGGTAGATTAAAGTACCTTCCCACCACGCTCACAAATTATTACTGAGACCAGTGTTTAGTTTGCAATTAATCAATTTATTAAGGGACAATACAAACTAAGGGATCAAGGTTCAGGAGAGGTTAACTAGGTATGTATATTGGAAAAGAGATTCAAAGGCACTAAGGTTTATGAAGGCACACTCCGAAGGAGAGGTGTAAATCAATGGAGTGAAAGGGTAGGAGTTGAGCCCAGTAAATAAAGTTAAAGAGTGTGTGTGTGTATGTATATGTATATTTACCCTCCTTCCTTCTGTAGCGTAGTTGTCAGAAGTGCTGGCAGCCTGCGTCCCAGTGACCGGGGCGACCCCCTCCTGCTGCTGGCAGGGCTCTGGTCCCGTGGCTTTCTAGGAGGTGCAGGCTGGGCAGGCTTGTCCGGTCCGGTTCGGTCCAGGCTGGGCAGGCAGGGTCCCTGGGAGCGGGCACAGGCAGCGCCCCCCTCTTTGCTTCTCCTCGCAGCGGAGTGGCACTCAGGCAGGTTCAGGTGCTGCAGCGGGGTCTTGTCCCAGGCAGG